TAGAGAAAAAATTTTTTCGTTTATAATGCTAATAGTGAGACACCTGGGAAAAAACACACATGATGCCAGGGTAAGCCAGGGAAAGATCATTTTAAAGAAAAGACCCCAAGTAAGGTTTTTTCCTTTAACCTTTGGTCGAGAATATGTTTGTATACTTTCAGAGAACAGCTACAAGACCATGTGGATTCCTGTAACAACGGATCCCAGAAAGCCAGCCACAAAGACAGTTCAGAGATGGAGATGGTGGAAGACGCCTTGCCATGCTAGCAGTCAGCAGCTGTGCGTCGCTGCAGCGTGCCCAGGACCAGACCAGAAAGGACCGGACCTGCATTTTCCACCATCCAGAACCAACATTTCATTGCTGGCACGTACACATGAACTTTTGAACATTGAAACTTGGACTCAGAACTTTTGGACATTGAAATTGGGACTTGATTATTTTTTAAAGAAAAAATAAGGGGGAGATGCCGGAGTCCATTCATTGTCTTCACTAGCTGAGTTTAAACAGAGACCCCCAAAAGCTAGTAACCTTTGAAGTCCTAGCAAAGGTCAGAACTGCACCACCCAGTTAATCTAGGAACCACCCAGTTAATTTAGGTGATAATAGCTGAAGCATCCCCACCTTAGTTTCCTTAATTCCCATTTATTATTATGTAAATCCTTGCTCATGGGCTAGTCTGCCTGTTAATGGGGTCACCTGCCTAAGGGCTATGCTATGAGTGCATCCCAGATCAATAAAAGCTTGGTGAGACCTAAGCACAGGGAGGAAGTCCTTAGGGACTTGCCCGCCTGGTCCCCCAATATTGCAAAATTATCTCGTGTCTTTTTCTTTCATTTGTTGTGCGGCTCCACTTTCAGATACCGAACCCTACTCCACGCAGAACGTGGAGGGAGTGTTACTCGACAACTGGTGTAAGTCTTGCTAGAGGTTTGTCAACTTTATTTATCCTTTCAAAAAACCAGCTCTTAATTTCATTGATCTTTTTTTATAGTTTTTTTTTTTTGTCTGTATTTTATTTCCACTCTGATCTTTATTATTTTCCTCCTCTACTTACTTTGGACTTTGTTTATTCTTTTTCTAGTTCCTTTAGGTGTAAAGTTAGATTATATTTGGGATTTGTTTCTACTTCTTGAAGTAGGCTTGCATAGCTATGAACTTTCCTCTTATAATTGCTTTTGCTTCATTCCGTTAAGTTTTGAAAAGTTGAGTTTTCATTTTCATTTGTCTCAAAGTAGTATTTCCTTTGATCCATTGGTTGTTTAGTAGCAATTGTTTAATCTCCATATTGTATTTTTTCCCGTTTTCTTCCTATAGTTGGTTTCTAGTTTCATGCAATTCTGATTGGAAAATATACGTGATAAAAATTTAGTCTTCTTGAATTTATTTAGGTTTCTTTTGTGGTCTATCTTGAAAAATGTTCCATGTGCATTTGAGAAAAATGTATAATCCACACTGTTTGGATAAAATGTCCTAAAAATGCTTATTATATTAATCTATTCTAATGTGGCATTTAAGGCCATTATTTTCTTAATTTTTTGCCTGATCTATCCATTAAGGTAAGTGGGGCAGTCAAGTCCCCAACTATTATTGTATTAATTTTTGCCTTTATATCCATTAATATTTTCTTTATAGACTTGGGTGCTCCTATGTTGGGTGTGTAAATATTTATGATTGTAATATCCTCTTCTCAGATTGACCCCTTTATCATTATGAAATGTCCTTGTCTCATTTTACATTCTTTATTTTAAAACCTACTTTGTCTGATATGAGTATTGCTACCCCCAGCTTTCCCTTCATTTCTATTTGTAGGCATATCTTTTTCTATCCATTCAGTTCCAGTTTGTGGGTCTTTCAATCTAAGGTGCGTCTTTTGTAGGCAGCACAGAGATGGGTCTGGGGTCTTGGTGTTTAACACATCCTGCCTCCCTATAACTTTTGATTGAAGAATTTAGTCCATTTACATTTAACATAATTATGGACAGGTATGTACTTACTGCCATTTTGTTCTTTTGTTGATCGCTTTGCTGGTTTCCTTTAATGTTTTGCTGGGGTTCTGTAGCAGTCTATTTTAAACTGATAAGCATTTGAGTTCAAACACATTCTAAAAGCACTACATTTTCACTGCCTCCCCACACTTTATTTTTGATATCATACCTTTTTTTGTTTTGAGTAGCTCCTATTATAGTTAATTTTGCTACTTGTCTTTTAATCTTCATACTGGATTTTTGAGTGGCTGATTCACTGTTAATTCTGTATTTGCCTTTATCTGTGATCCCCTCCCTTCCCCCGTGTTTTCTTATTTTTGGCATGGCCTTTTCTGCATAAAGACTGCATAACATTTCATGTTAAGTCTGTTTAGTGGTGAGCTTCTTGTTTTTGCTTATCTGGGGAAATCTTTATCTTTCCTTCAATTCTGAATGACAACCTTGCCAGGTATAATATACTAGATTGTAGGTTCCTTTCTTTCAGCACTTTAAATATTTCCTGCCATTCCCTTCTGGCTTGTAAAAGTTCTGCTGAAAAATTAGCTATTAGTTTTTTGGGGTTTCCTTTTAATGTAATTCAATGTTTTCCCCTTGCTTCCTTCAAGATTGTGTTTTTATATTTAACTTTTGCCATTTAATTACAGTATATTTTGGTGTGGGCCTCTTTGGGTTCATCTTATTTGGAATTCTCTAATGTGGGTGTGTTTCCTTCCCTGGTTAGTTTTTGGCCATTATTTCTTAAAATGAACTTTCTTCCCCTCTCTCTCTCCTTCTGGGATCCTTATAATGCTGTCCCATGTCCCATGGGGCTCTCATACTATCCTTATTTTCTTAAATTCTTTATGATTGGGTGATTTTCACTATTCTCCCTGGTTGCTGATCCATTCTTCTATATTAACCAGTCTGTTGTCAGTTCCATCTAGTGTGTTTTTCATTTAAGTTATTGTATTCTTCATCTCTGATTGGTTCTTTATAATATTTTCTTTTTTGAAGTTGTCCCCGAATTCCTTTATTCTACTCTCAAATTTATGGAGCATCCTTATGACAGTTTCTTTGAATTTTTTATCCAATTATTTTTCTCCATTTCATTAGTTTTTCTCTTGTTCCTCCATTTCATTTGACTTTCTGTGTTTGTTTCTTTCTACGAGTTAGATGAAATAACTCTCTCTCCCGGTCTTGAAAAATTGGTCTTGTGTAAAGTGGTGTCTGTGTAGACTGGATGGCTTTGGCAAGTTGCTTGGAGTTGGGGCGGGCATGTGCAGTGCCCAGGGTGCTACCCAGAAGGAGCAGGTCTGGGTATCCTGTTGTTTTGGCTGTTCACAGCTGCACTTGTGTGTGCTATAGAACCTTGCTGGTTGTACAAAGGAGCACATCTAGTTGTTCTGATTGACTGCTGCTGGTCTGAGGATACCTGACCATGGGCACCGCAGCACTCACTGTTTCCCTCCTCCAGGCACAGCTTCCTGCTGTGCAAGGCTCGCCTTGTGGTTTGATTGACTGCTGCCAGTCTGGGTTGGGGTGCTCTCTGACATGTGCTGCAGCACTCTGCCAGCTCCCTCCCACTCTAGTAGGGGCCTCCCTCTATGTGCATGGCTCACTCTGGGGCCCCTCTCTGTGCATTCATAGGCATGTCCTATTGCTTTGATTGATTGACATGGAGGTCTGAGCTGGACTGCCCCCTGGGCAGGAGCACAGTGATGCCCTGCTGAGTCCCTTTCACTCCAGGTGGGGCTGTCCAGTGGGCTTGCACAGCAGTGGCTGAGCCTCAGTGCCCTGTTGGGCCCAGTGGATCTAACTCTGGATTGGTGTGTAGGGGGCAGGGGCTGTGCATGCTTGCTATGCACCCCTTCCTGCTGGAGCTGGTTACAGGAGGGGTGACTGGAGATGCACTACTGTGGCCTTGCAGGTTGGCCAGAGCACTTGGGTAGAGCTCTTACCAATGCTACTCAAGTGTAAGGAGAATGCAAACAATGGTGCTCACCAGCTACTCCGATTCCTGGTGGGTTCCCTGATTCTGAAGAGCTCCTGTAGTTCCCATGTTCTTCAAGTGGCCTCTTCCTCTCTTCTTTGTTGTGCAAAAGCTGTTCAGTTCTCTTAGAGACAACTACTCAAAATATAGATGTGCATTCAGTGTGTTCATGGGAGGGGCAAGCTCAGTGTCCTCTTATGCTGCCATCTTGGACCTGCCCAAATTCGGACTACTTTGGGGAAGTCACTAATCTCAGGCCCCACCATAGAATAGCTCCAGGTATTAGAATATACATATTCCACCATGCGTGAACCCAGGGTACCCATACAGCCACATGTCGATTTACGAACATAATCTGCATCCAGGAAAAAAAAAAAAAGCCTTTGTGTACAAAAAGTACCTAGTAAGTTTAACCACCTACAGAAGAGCATCTACTTCTGTGAGGTCAATTAATGTCCAGGGCTAAGTGAAGAAAGAGGAAATGAAAGAACTGACTTTCATGCTTTTCTCTCAAAATTATCACACTTACCTACACACACCACGCTGACATGGTTCCTCTGTCTCAAAATTATACCATGGGAGAAAAACCAGGTTAGTAAAGGGGGCGGCACCTTCCTACATGTAATGAAACACATACAACCCCCCCCACACACACACACACACAAATACCCATCAAGAACATTAAGACGCCTTATAGAAAAATAAGAAAAACTTTCCATTCTAGTTGTGATTTGACCTGAATTTATACACCATACTTTACTCCCTAGCCTATGACTCTTATCAGAATCGCCAGGCAGAGTTTTACCTTCTTGCGTAAGAAGCCTTTCAAAGACTTAACCTGCACAACTGCAAAGGGTTCCCACCAGTCCTGCTCCATTGTCACCAGGGCTCAGCTCACAGAGACCACTGCCTCATTCCCAACACGCTGGAGGAAGTCCAGCCCAGTGACACCAGTGTCTCACTTCACTTGGTCACTCAGTTGTTCCTGAGGATGATGCCAGGAACATCTGGCTGATCGAAAAGTGGAACGTGACAGACCAAAGCATGAGGACACGAGATAATGGTTGTTATGGCAGAGAATCATCAGAACAACAACAAAATGGAGAGTCTTGTGCAAGACCATGGATATAAAACGAGTAGCTCTGGGACTCAATAAACAAGTACAGTACTGTATATTTTGGTAAACAAATGGTTGTTCAATAGTAGATAACTATTCTTTTTTCTAATTCAGGGTTGAAAGGTTTCTGTTCAGAGTCTACACATGTTGGTCTGTAAAGCCATGTGAAATCTGAGAAGTCCCCTCCTCTGAGGATTCTCTGGTACGTGGTGGTTCAGTGCTGGGGGTAATTCTCATTAACAAAAGAGAAATGGCAGCCAGACCTTAGCCAGACCCTGGTCTCCCAGGCAGGCCTCAGTTCTTCTTGTCCTCCTTCTGAGTCTGGCTTCTTGTGATCCCCAGGTTGTTCCACACCTCTGTGTACATGAGGGTCCCAATGAAGACAAACAAGGTGCCCAGCCAGTGCCACACAGTGAAAGGGTTCTGGAAGTACAAGATGGAGATGATGAGGCTCACAAACTTGCGTAGAGTCACAACGAGTGTGACGGTGAGGGAGGTGCATTCTGTGGTGAGAATAAAGACACCCCGAATGCACACGTACCTGGAGAGACAGGGTTAAGGTAGTTTTCTGACTACTGAGAGATCAGCTGGGGAGCACTTTCTGGTATGGCTCTTGGCTTAAATGTTCATATTCTAAGAACCAGAAAACTCGGGGGTTGGCTATGGCGGCTCTGAGGCTCCTTGGTAGAACATTCTGCAGATTCCTGTCCTGCCATCCCAATTGTGGGTCCCAACTCAAACTGCCTAAAACCTCCCATTATTCTTATTCTGGATTCTTCCCACAGTTTACAGTGAAGGTCACCACCGAAGGAATGACAGAGGTTAACACTCTCAGTAAAGGTCATCACACCTACCTCTACTTGATCTGGTCCCCAGTCCTTCCACCCCTTCTCCAAAAAAGAACTCTGTAAGGCAAATCTATGAGGTGAAGTGAGAGGAATGAAGTCAATCCCCTCTGTTCCAAAGACTTCACAGTGTTTATAATGGACTTAAGGTCGTTCGAAAGAAGCATTATTTTAAGTTTTAATTCACTTGGAATTTCTTTGAGAATTTTGTGGCAGCTTGTGAAATGTCCCAGGATACTAGAAAACTCCAGGTAGAAATCACAGAGCATGCATGTCATATACTAATTCTTAATCACCCACTGACTTCTACCCCTGCACCCCGAGCACCTCCCTCACAGTGCCCTGTGCCCTGCTGACCTCGGCACCCACTATCATCTCTTTGGCCCTCCACAGGGAGCTCAACCGATGGGCCTTTCTCCTCCTACTGCAGAACAGATCAAAGCAGAAATGAAACTCATGTCACTGAACTGTCAGGGAATAAACAATCCCATGCCAAAGAAGCCCATGCGGCAGAGGAGTGCGAAGGATACTGAGTGATGACATTCATGAGGAGGTAGAACCACATGATGGGCATTGCCACACCAACAACTGGAACTTGATATAATTCTGCAAAGATTAAGAGGGGAGATAGTTGTATTACTTTTAACAGCTAAAGTTTTCATCTTTATGAACAAACTGAACATAATAGAGATAACGATGTTACTTCCCTTGCAATTAGATTTGGACCAAACACCACTTTACTTGCCCTTGATTCCAGGCTATATCAGCCTCAAGAGTCCTTGTATTGCTTTCTTAAAACAAATGAGAATTTATCTTAAGTTTAAAATAAACTCTTTACCATTCACCTAAACAGGACTCCACTTTACAGAGAAAGGCTGTGTGAATCACAGAGAAGTTCAAATGATATGGTCTTAACAACTCAACACAGAGAAAAGACAACCAGTAACTAAATACCATTTGGAAATACTGTCAATCCTACTAGTAATCAAATAATTCTAAAATTTACAAATAATATTATAATCTGGCAAGGTAAAATTGGAATTGGCAGCCATTCAGTTGATGGTAGTATGAATTGATTTTTAAAAAATCAATTTCACAGTTCTTACTAAGGGGCCATAAAAGTATTGGTACCCATTCTTAGGAAAAACTCTGAATTAATCTAAATGTCCAATGATAGAGCAATGGCTGTGCAAGCAAAGGTACTTTGACTAGATGAGGCATTGTATGTACATTCTATTTAAAATATAAGGATTATATATAGTCACACAAAAAACTAAGAATGAAAGTGAAAAAGTATAAATTTTATCTACACAAGGGTTACAACGATGTAAGAATTTATGTAAATGGTGTCTGGAAGGAAACTGGTAAAATGAAATTAGCTGATGTGTAGAGTGATGGAAGTTATTAAACTTTTCTTCTTTTAAAATACATTCTTATGTTAGTTTTATATAAGAGGTTTGCACAGTGAACATCTGAGAGGAAACAAAATGCCAATGATTAACAAGAATAAGGACATAATAGCCCTCTCAGGGTCACTTCTTTTATATTGCTAACTTGCTTTTGGAGTTTGAAATATACAGCATAACTTAGGAAATTCCAAAGGTGATGCTGAGTTCTGGTTAGGAAAAGAACATTAATTTTCTTTTGCAAAAAAATTAAAAGCCATCTAGATAAAGAGATAACTGTATGTCTAGACTAGTGAGAAATCCCAATAATCTGGTATTCTATTGTCTTTGAAACACTCAGCAAGTATTGAAATGAAAAGAAAGTTAACAAATGTTATTACTATTTAATAACTTTAGAGATCCACTGTATCAACTGCTGAGGAAAGAGACAATCAGTATTACCTAAAACATTTAGATGGATATTCGGCTCTCTTAGAAAAATCAAGGATAATAGGTTCCAGATGCTAAAACTCAAGAAGAGAAAAAAATGTAAATTTAACTTAGGGATGATTCTGAAAAAGTTAAAGGCAGATTCTAAAAAATAAAAATGTGTAAGTACCCAGCTCTGCAACTTTTGGAAGAAGTATTCTAATAATTAAATCAAAATGAATTTGATAGTGTGTTTACTCAAACAGCTCTTTGCTATGCGGGGACTGTCAGAAACTCTGAAAACCACGTGTCAAAAATCAGCTGTATGTCAATCACATCTCAATAAAAAAACTCAGAAATGGGTAATTCAGAGCCTTAAAAACTTAAGTTAACTGACAATTGAGAGCTAATTTATTAGTCACTTTAAAAAGTAAAAGCTAATTAATACTGTAGACTTTTGAATTAATTTTGCTTATTCCTGCAAGCTCTAACCTGTCACCATTTTTGCTTCCTCTTCCCCAAGGCTCCCATCTCTGCTGTGTGTTAGGACTATTTCTTTGCATTCTTGAAAAGCAAACCTTCTGCATTCAAATGCAAACACACAATTCCAAAGCAAAACAGAAAATGTGAAGATACATATCCTTATTTCTCTTGCAAATCATTCAGAAACACCTGCAAATGCTTTTGCTGATGCAAACACTGATGAATGGCACTATATTCCAGGAGGGTAGAATGGAGAGGGTTTAAGTGGGCCAGATGACTTGCATAAAAACATCAGTGGTCAAGTCCAGAGTAAAACTGAAACTTGCCTTGGAAGCTCTCAGGCAATTCTACTGAGTAAGCCCGAACTCACCAGACTTATTGAAAAGAGCTGCATGGTCATAAATGTCAGAAGCCAAGAAGATGAATCCAGGCAGCGGAAGGGCATGCTAGGGGAAGAAATATTTCACATCAATTGAAATGCAACACACGACAGAATAATGAGCAGTCTTATAAGTTGTTTGACAAGCAATCAAGAAAAGCAAATAGGACTAAGTTAAATGTACCCAGTGCTTCTAACGACCTGACACTGTCTGGCTCAATAAACCCCAAATTACGGTTCTTGCCCTTTTGGAGTTTGTGATGATCATCACACACACACAACAAAAGGGAATACACACAGTCATTGTGTCCAAAGATTTGTTACGTTTTACTAATTCTGAGAATAGTTAAGCAAATGAAATGGATTTAAAAATTATAAAGAACATGGGGCAGGTCCTGGCCGGTGTGGCTCAATGATTTGAGCGACGGCCTGAGCACCTCGATTTCCAGTCAAGGGCATGTACCTGGGTTGCGGGTTTGATACCTGCCCCAGTTGGGGCAGGTGCATGAGGCAACCGATGTGTGTCTCTCACATTGATGCCTCTCTCTCCACCCTCCCCCAACAATCAATGGAAAAAAATATCCTCAAGTGAGGATTAACAACAACAACAAAAGGAATGTGGAGGCAGAGTTCAGATTGTTTAGAAAAGTAGTAGGAAAAGAGATGGAGAACAATTCAATGTCAGGGGAAAAATGAAGACAAGAATGAAAAGAGGTTGAAGAGGAAGAAGAAACAACAGGTAAGCAAAGATTAATATACTTGACACCAACCCACCACCACAATAATTGAATAAGGAATCACGGCTAACATTTACTCAGAAGTCATTATGTGCCACTTACTGTTCTAAAAGAAAGATGTGAGCCAAATGGAGTGTGTATTTTTACATTCCCAGGCACGTACTCTAGCTCCAACTAATAAGCCAAACTCCTTGTCTGCAGCTTCAGTACAAAAAGTTGGCAGTGAAGGAATCCCCGAGTTACCAAACCTCACCCTGACCTTGAGGGGCTGTGCTTTGGGCATTATCACAACAAGAGAGAGGGAGGAGGAAGAAGAGGAGGCCCTAGACCAGTGGTCGGCAAACTCATTAGTCAACACAGCCAAATATCAACAGTACAACGATTGAAATTTCTTTTGAGAGCCAAATTTTTTAAACTTAAACTATATAGGTAGGTACATTGTTATTAACTTAATGAGGGTACTCCTAAGGCTTAGGAAGAGCCACACTCAAGGGGCCAAAGAGCTGCATGTGGCTCGCGAGTCGCAGTTTGCCGACCACGGCCCTAGACCAGCAGTTTAAAACAAAGAAGCTGAAGTGTCTATTACTGCTATTTAAACTCTCCATAAAATGACTGAAGCCCATCTGAGGGCCTCCTCTCACCTGTCTTCCCAACCCTCTCAAAGGCCTGCCTGCACATATCCCCCTGGGCATGCAGTTTTTGTAGCTTAGTTTCCTTTTCCAGGTTTCCAGATTGGTCTGAACCTGGGTGCATCTGCAGGAACACGGGGGTGCAGGTTCCTGGTCTGCCCGGTGGCTCCTGGTTAGCAGACATGTTCACGTAGACTGGCCGTGACCACCTGTGTGGAGGGCTGTGGCTCAGATGCACAGCAGCAGCCTACGAAAGGCACTGCAGTCTGTGGGCCCAAAGCCCTTCACCGGGTGATCAACTGATCCTTCAACTCCATTAGCAGGATGGCATGTTACATTTGAAATCACACATTACAACAACATAATAACGCAGTAATTTTCATCCTCCCCAGGTTCAAGAAATTGCTTACATTATAAAACAAAGCCTCCTTGGAATGTTTCCCAAACTGTTTGTATAGAGTCTCTTGGAAGATGCCCATCCTCGCGGACATCAGGAGTGCGAACGTCAGTGCCCCAATACCTGCAAAACAAAGGCCGGGTTACAAGACACCTGCATTCGCTACTCTCCAGATATTTTGTTAAAGAACATTTATTGATTATTTAAATGTACCACAAATATTACAAACTAACTGTAGAATATGCACAAAACTTTAAAAAGAAATAAAAATCAACCATAATATTACCATCCAGTCCTTAATAGTTTTCTACATCTCTCTAAGCCAGGATCATAATGAGTACACAGTTTTATGTCTTGCTTTTTTCATGACCTTTTTCTGGATTTTTCTTCAGGTCATTCATTAAAATTTTTTCAAAAGTATGATTTAATAGCCACACATTACTCTTCTCATGTGGATGTACTTAAGTGTCTTACAATATGAGAATGGTTAGATTACTTCCAATTATTTCTTCATTAAAATCAATGTACATCCGTGTATGTAAATCTTTTTAAAATGTGATTTCCTTAGTATACTCTCACAAGTGGAATTACTGAGTCAAAAGTTGTAGACATTTTTAAAACTCAATACATATACTTTTTTTCCAGAAAGGCATGTCAATTTATACTGTAAACAGTTGATGTGAACATGGTTGTCCTATTGCACCCTCAGCAGCAAAGAGAATAATCATTTATTATCTTGCCAATATAATAGATCAAAAATAAAAAGATACTGCATTTTGGATTCAAGTTGCATTTCTTTGATGATTAGACTAGTTAGAGGCTGAACATAAAATTACAGGACATTAATATTTTCCTCCATAAGTGGTATGTTCAAATCCTTTGTAAATTTCTCCTAATAGATAGTGTTCTTCCAATAGCTCATGAAGATCTTTCTGTGTTAGGAATAGCAATCTAAAGGGGGGGGGGGGTAAAGTTTCAAAGCCAAGAAGCAAGAATCCAGTTCCTTCCCTGCTATTCCTCTTTCGCCTGGTCAGTCTCAACCTGTTATTGCCAGCACGGAAAGCACTTGGGAGGAGCTTCACCTCTGTATCTCACAAAAGGAAGGCCAAGCACTACAGGAACTGTCTCGTCACTTCCACAAAGAGAGACAATGCCCAGGAGATTCTGCTGACCAGTCAGGTCTGGGAACACTGCCATGTGGAACAGCCAACTTCTGAAGGAAATAAATCTAAGATTTAGCAATGGGTCCCTTGGAGACTTAGTGTCCACTGCTACAACGTGCCCTTCTGAAGAAGCCTGTACTCAGCAGACAGGTCATAAAGAGACGGATGACAGCCAAGCACCCACAGGGTGCTGGGCAGGCAGGCAGGTACAGAGAAACATGGGTCCATGTCACAGAACACACCACCATGACCTCGACGTTTCCTTTCTGTCACTTCTTGAACACTGCGGTTCAGACTTATGATCCCAGGTGCCTCTCTCCTGTGGCATCATTTGTTTAGCTAACGCTTCTTGCCAAGAAACACGTCCCTTAGGAGAAAACTCAGCAAACAGAACTGCAGAGGCAATTATCATTATTGTAATTAGCATACTTGCCTAGTAACCACCATGTAAATGCCTGGAATCCTTCATTCTCACTCAAGCTGGACTGGGAAGTCTAGGGAATAAGAAAAAACATTAGGTACAGAGACCAGAACCACAAGCAATGGGCCTGGACACAACGGAAATGTTTGCTACCTTCTTCCCTCCCCTCTTTGTATTATTAGTAAGTACCTGGTGCCTGGGCCCCATGGCAAGCAGTGAATAGAAATGATTTGTGAACCGATTCTTACCACCTGCTTTGCTGACATGGAAGTGCAAATAAATATCCCCACAGAAACCAGGGCAATGGAAGCATATTTGAATATACTGTATCTGCAGAAATAAGAACAAGAACACATTAGGAAGGCACAGGTACCAATTTCCACAGGATGTTTTCAGTAGATGGTGCCTGAGAGTATAAATCACCAGCAGAGCCCATGTAAGTCTGCATGTGCAAGGATCAGGGTGCCCACTGGTTGCTACACACACCCTTCCTTGGTGTTGCTTAAAACAGTTTCTAAAAGTTTGTGGACCAACGGATTGTTTCATTAGGAAAAAAAAAAAAAAAGACCAGACACGACATTCCATTGGTGACAGTCACATAGAACAGTTTTGACACTTTTCATTCTATTTTCTTGGCCACTTGGGCTTTATTCGGAATTTTCTTTGTACTAAGCACGATTAGTCTTTCATTCATTGTGTTGCACTGATGAACACCTTCTGTGACAGCACTGTCCCACACAACTATGAGGCTGGAAATGCTCCATTTTGGGCTCTCCAATACGGTCACCACCAGCCACATGTGGCTACTGGGCAATTAAACTCTGACCAGTGAGACTGGGAAACTAAATATTTAATTTTAAGTAATTTAAATGTTAAATGTGAATAGTCACATGTGGCTTCTGGTGACCACAAGGGACACAGAAGTTCTCAATCGATTGGCTTCATAGGTTAGGATGGATCTAAGGACTCAATGATGCTAAGAGCTAATTCTACAGAGAGAACACTGCTGCACAGGTGGGACCCCCTACCTGGTCAGCTGCTTCAGGAATGCACATCATTGCCACAGAGAGAACTCAAACAAAGAAGGCCAGGAGCACGCCCCCTCCAGCAGGAGAGAAGGAATCCATGTGCCTAGCTTATAGGTGGGGCCAAGAATGTGCTTCCTAAACATAAATTATAAAAGCGCATTGTTTACCTTTTCTTCAAAATGATAATCCCTAGAATCATGTTGGCAATTAGAGAACCCTGTAAAAGGAGACAAGAGGAAGTTTTAGTGCACTAGGGAAAGACAACATACTTCAAGGTAAAAATGAACATCGCCAAGAGGGAAAAACAGCTGGGCAGGAGGAGATTAGGATGAATAATTAGTAAGGTCCAGGTGTTCTTATGATGGCAACAAGTGTAAGCCATAAAAATCTATCTTGCAAAATAATTACGCCTTTTAAAGATGACAATGAAGATAACAATGATCAATTCTCAATAACTACTCATAGCTGAAGCTTATTACAGGCTTATTTTTGTCAACTTTTCCATCTAATTTATAAGAGCTTTTACTATGTTTCTCCTCCCCCCGCGTTTTGAGGAAAGTAGTTGTGTGGAGCTCTCTCTCTTCTCTGGAAGGGTGTCTGTCCTTCATCAAGTGCTCACAGAAAGTCTACTATGTGCTCAATGCTGTGAGGGTCATCTTAGTCATTATAATTAGCTCTGGAAAGTGCTTTTAGGAATAACACATTTGATCTCACAAAAATCTCAGACCACACCAAAATGTTACAATTCTAATCCTCACCCGTTTTGTATTCTTCTGCAACCCTAACTATATTTCCCTTGAAGTCTTTTCTGCCCTCCAGGGAAAACTGTTCTTATCTATATACTGAACACAGATCTCTCACCATACATGAGGCAAAGAAGAAACCTCTACTGCTTTGGAAGAAGCATGCCTCCATCAAGAATTTTCCTTTATTTATCTAAAGTCTCTGATTGATTTAAAAAAAAATCAGGAAGGAAAAGGGTCTGGCCCTGGCATGTGTTTCTCAATGGTTAGAGTGTGGGCCTAAGCACTGAAGGATTGTGGGTTTGATTCTTGGTCAAGGGCACATATCTGGATTGCAGGTTCAATCCCCGGCCATGGTCGGGGCACATACAGGGAGGCAAACAACCCGTGTGTCTCTCTCACATCGATGTTTCTCTCTCTCCCTCTGTTCAACTCTCTCTAAAAATCAATGAAAAAATATCCTCAGGTGAGGATTAACAACACACACACACACACACACACACACACACACACACACACAGAGAAAGAGAGAGAGAGAAATGAAATGAAAGAATGGTCTGTTTCATTTACTAGAAATAAATGTAATTTTATGTAAGAAAGACACAAAAAGTGATGAGAAATGTTAAAGAACATTCATAGGAAGTTTGAATATAAAATCAACCAGATGAAGGAAATTAAAAGTTAAAATCTGCTTCTCAGGAAAATGTTAACTTTCCTTTTATCAATCACCCATAAGACCTGAGATACATAAAAGTAAACCATCCACTTTCACATTGCTCTCTTTCGGCCTTCTCAGACGACAGTCAGCCTCTGCTCACTGATCTGAGCAGCAGTACTCGCAGATCTAAATATCATGTGCAGGGGCATGGTGATGTTGAGGTTCAGGGCATAGTTGTTCACCTAGCTGACCGTGAAGAACATGGTCACCATGACGGCATAGTATCTGAAATGCAGAGGCAACAGCTTACCACACAGAATCTACTAGTTCAAGAAAATCAAATAGAGAAGGAAATAAATATCTCTAGTTAAAAGTATTTTGCTTATTTCCTCTTTATTAAAATTGTGTCACTATTATAATTTGAGTAGAATAATAAGTACCTATAAAAATACTTCACAAAGCCAAACTAACATGGAAAAAGTTTAAATTATAGAGTATGTTTCAAGAAACACTATTTTAATATGCTTCAAGTATACACAGCAACTAAAAACTAGGCTTCAAAAAATGTTACCTAATAGCAATAGGTTTTTAAAAGTAAATGGGGAGCCCTAACCAGCTTGGCTCAGTGGATAGAGCGTCGGCCTGCAGACTTGAAAGGTCCCAGGTTCGATTCTGGTCAAGGGCATGTGCCTTGGTTGTGGGCACATCCCCAGTGGGGGGTGTGCAGGAGGCAGCTGATCGATGTTTCTCTCATTGATGTTTCTAACTCTCTATCCCTCTCTCCTCTTCTCTGTAAAAAAATCAATAAAATATCTTTAAATAAATAAATAAAAGTAAATGGGGAGAGATGACATCAGCATCATGGCAGAGTAAGAAGACTCCATTGTTTCTCCTCTTAAATTTATCTCAAGACAATTATAACTCAACAAAGATCCCGTGCTCAGCACACAAACACACCTGAAAGATCCATGCATTAGCACATCTGAAGGTGGGCATGTTGAAATGAGTAGGGAAGGTGGGATGGGGGAAGAACAGGAGGGGAGGGGGGACAGGGGAAGGGCAGGGATGTGACCACAGATGTAGTTTGGTGCCCATCCTGGCTCCAGTGAGCAAGGAGCACAACAGTGGGGGAGAAGTCCAGCTGCAGCCCTCACACTACAACCTGGAGGGTCAGAGGGGCAGAAGCAGTTTCCTTCCTAGAAAAGGCATCTCCCTTCTGCCCTCCCCACTGCAGCTGAGCTGGGTATAGAGGTGGCTGGAAAGCCATTACTGTAGGGGTGGAGCAGAGCCATAAGATCTCTATCTCAAATGCACACACAGAGAAACAACCCATCAAATACCATGAACAACAGGGTAACTTGGGAGCACAGAAAGAAAATGAAAAATCTCCAGGAACCAAACTCAAAGGCATGGAAGACTGTGGTTTAAATGACAGAGAATTCAAGACTGCAATTACAAAGAAACTCAACAATATACAAGAAAACTCAGAAAGGCAAGTCAATAAGTTCAGGAATACAATTAATGAGCAAAAGCAGTACTTTACCAAAGAGATTCAAACTATAAAAAAAAAATACATTCTGGAGCTGAAGAACTCAATAAATGAGATAAAGAATGCACTAGAGGACATTGGAAACAGAGCAGACCAGATGGAAAAAAGAATTAGGGAACTTGCCCAGCCAGCATGGCTCAGCAGTTGAGCATCAACCTATGAACCAGGAGGTCACGGTTCAATTCCCGGTCAGAGCACATGCCCAGGTTGCAGGTTTGATTCCTAGTGCGGGGTGTGCAGGAGGCAGCCAATCAATGATTCTTTCTCATCACTGATGTTTCTCTCTCTCTCTCCCTCTCCCTTCCTCTCTGAAATCTACAAAAATATATTTAAAAAAGAAAAGAATTAGGGAACTTGAAGAGAGAAACCTAGAAATAACCCGTGAAGAAGAGAGAGAACTAAGAGTTAAAATTTAAAAAATAAAAGCGCTCTCTGACTACATTAGAAAGAGCAATATAAGGATAATAGATACGGTATACCAGAAAGAGAAGAGAGAGAGGAGGGAACAGAGATCCCACCTAAAGAAATAATTGACAAGAACTCCCAAGCCTATGCAAAGAACTAGATGTTAGAATAGAGGAAGCTAACAGAACACCTAATTATATCAATGCAAAAAGACCTTCTCCAAGGCTCATTTTATTCAAACTGTCAAAAATTAATGACGAAGGAAAAATTCTTAAGGCAGCCAGGGAACATAAAGATTAACCGACAAAGGAAACTCCATTAGATGATCATCACCAGATTTTTCTGTAATGTTTTCAGTAGCAACACTACAAGAGAGGAGAGAGTGAAAGAAAATATTTAAAATATTGAAAGAGAGGAACCCATCAGCAAAGGATCCGATATGCAGCAAAGTTATCCTTTAGACATTAAGAAGAAATAAAGGCTTTCCCAGACAGACAAAAGCTGAGAGAATTTACCACCGTAAGACGGCACATAAGAAATGTTGAAAGGAGGTCTTCTACTGGAAACAAAAACACAAAAGTACACAAAACGTTGAATAAGATGATTAATAGATAGAAGCAGGAAAGTGAAAATCTATTTCAGAGTAGTTTATTAAATAATCTATACTAATAAAAGAGTAATATGCTAATTAGACCGGGAGACCTTCCAGAGACCTTCCGGACGTCCTTCTGGACAAAGCCGGGGGCTTGGCCAGCCTGAAAACGGCCCTCAGCCCCTCACCCAGGCTGGCCACGCCCCTCAAGGGGACCCCCACCCTGATGCGGGACCCCATTCAGGGCAGACCAGCCGGCCCCAACACGTGCACCACGCCTCTATCTATACCAGCCGTGGGCAAACTATGGCCCGCGGGCCGGATCCGGCCCGTTTGAAATGAATAAAACTAAAAAAAAAAAAGACCGTACCCTTTTATGTAATGATGTTTACTTTGAATTTATATTAGTTCACACAAACACTCCATCCATGCTTTTGTTCCGGCCCTCCGGTCCAGTTTAAGAACCCATTGTGGCCCTCGAGTCAAAAAGTTTGCCCACCCCTGATCTATACTAATAAAAGGGTAATAAAGGGTAATATGCTAATTAGACTGGGAGACCTTCAGGGAGACCTTCCAGATGTCTTTCCGGACAAAGCCATGGCAGTGGGGCCGAGGCAGAGGCAGTTAGGGGTGATCAGGCCAGGAGGGGAGGGCAGTTGGGGGTGATCTGGCTGACGGGGGGTGGGCAGCTGGGGGCAAGCAGGTTGGCAAGGGGGGCCAGTTGGGGGCGAGGAGGCCGGCAGTGGGGGGCAATTGGGAACGAGCAGGCCAGCGGGGGTGCAGTTGGGGACGAGCAGGCCGGCAGTGGGGGACAGTTGGGGGCGAGCAGGCCAGCAGGGGGGGCAGTTGGGGGTGATCAGGCTGGCAAGGGTGGGCAGTTGGGGGCGAGCAGGCTGGCAGGCAGAGTGGTTAGGGGCGATCAAGTAGGCAGGCAGGTGAGTGGTTAGGAGCCAGTGGTCCCAGATTGCGAGAGGGATGTCCGACTGCCGGTGTGGGATTGGGCCTAAACTGGCAGTCGGACATCCCCCAAGGGGTCCCAGATTGGAGAGGGTACAGGCCAGGCTGAGGGACACCGCACCCACCCACTCCCCCAGGCACAAATTTCATGCACTGGGCCACTAGTTATAACATAAAGGTTAAAGGGGGGAAGGGCATTAAAATAATTGTAACTATTGCAGATAACAAGTTCACAACATAAAGAGGGATAATTTGCAACAACAAAATGATAAAAGAGGAGGAAGAGGATTGAATAGTACAGGTGAATGAAGAGGCAATCAGAAGAAAAAGGACTATTTTATGTATGTATGACACATTTTGCACAATTCTAATGGTAACCACAAAACAAAAATCCAGAGCTGAGATAAAACATTAAAAAAGAAGAAGAAGAAATGAAGAAGAAAATCATAGAAAACTGTCAAACTAAAATAGCAGAAATAATTATAAGAGAAAACAAACAATGGAGATAGAACAACAAGAAAACAAAGGATACAGTAACTGTGGTAAATCTTCATGTATCATTAACAACCCTAATTATAAATGGACTGAACTCACAAATCAAAAGGCACAAAGTAGAGATATGGATTATACAACAAGACCCAACTATATGTTGCCTGCAGGAGACTCTGCTCAATTACAAGACAAACACAGGCTCAAAGTGAAGGGGCGAAGATGATACTTCAAACAAATGGCATCCAGAGAGAAGTGGGTGTAGCTGTACTTATATGAGACAAAACAGATGTTAAGATCTAAAAAAAAAAAAGAAACAAGAGACAAAGATAGACATTTTATAATGATAAAGGAGACAATTCATTAAGAAGACATAACGCTTATTAATATGTATGCACCCAACCTGGAAGTATCAAGATATATAAAGCAATTACTAATAGACCTAAGGGAGAAACTGACAAAAATACAATTATAGGAGGGGACATGAATCCCCCACTGACAGCAATGAATAGATCATCCAGACAGAAAGTCAATAAGGAGATATGGGCCTTAAATGACACAGCAGGTTAAATCAACTTAGTATTTATAGAATTTTACATCCCAAAATGCCAGAACAGGCATTCTTTTCAAGTGCACACAGAACATTCTCAAGGAAAGACCATATATTGGATAATAAAACTAATCTCGATAAATTTAAGAAGACTGATATCGTACCAAACATATTTTCTGGGAAAATCACAAATATGCGGAGATTAAACAACATGCCACTAAACAACTACTGGGTCAAAGAAGAAATAAAAGACGAGATCAAAAGATACATAAAGACAAATGAAATAAAAATACAATATACCAAAATTTGTGGGATGCAGCAAAAGCAGTACAAAGTGGGAAGTTTAGAGCATTACAGGCCTAGCTCAAGAAACAAACAAAATTTCAAATAAACCACCTAGCATTACACATTTAAAAACTAGAAAGAAAAAGTCCAAGATGGTGGCAGCATAGGAGGTCTGAACTCAACCCCTCCCATGAGCAAACTCAAATATACACATATATACAGAGTAATTACTCCTGCAAGATAGCTAAGGGCTTCATGAACAGTTTCTCAACAACAAACAACAACCGAATGGAGAAGGCTGGGAAAGCCACGAGCCCTCTGGGAGCTGCAGGAACTCCATGGGCTGGAGGCGCCTGTGAACGCCTTAGGGCAGGCGGGATCTCTGTTCAGGGGCTGTGGCTTGCCTGCAAATCACAGCAGCTTTCCCAGCTCTGCTGCCCAATCCTTTGCCTCCAGCA